TTTAAACGCAAGGAAAGGAAAAAAATCAATTAATATTTTTTAAATGAAAAAAATGAATTAATTTTTTTTTAAAAATGAAACATAAATGTGGATCATTAAATTTTTTTATTGACATTATTCATTCACAGTGTGATTTTATTCTTAAATAAATTTACATTTTTCTACCTACAAAATTATTTGAACTTAACAGTAAAGAATGGTGCATCACACAAACATCGCAACTCGCATAAGGACTGAAACAATCAGAGCGACCGAAGTCCGCTGGTAACAACGTGGGAAATCAAAGGACTGATACTGGAAATCTTTCATTCAATGAATGTAGGGTGTATTTATAAAAAAAGTTCAGATACTAATTCAGAAGTCAAACAACAAAAATCAGCGTTATATTTTCAAATTTTACAGGACCAGTTTCGATGGTTTTACCGAACCACCATCGTCAGCTGCAAAAGCGCAAATGAACGAGATAGGATATAATGGTCAGATAAGATAAGAAAGCCTGGACAGAAAATAAGCTAGTGGCGCCATCTGTTGATGAAACCAGAACTAAAAAAATTTCTTTAAAGGCCGAAGGCAAAGATGGATTGGAATTAGGATCGTTAACTAGAACAGAAAGACTTTGGTGGTTCGGTAAAACCATCGAAACTAGTCCTGTGAAGTATATCCTATCTCGTTCATTTGCGATTTTGCAGCTGACGATGGTGGTTCGGTAAAACCATCGAAACTAGTCCTGTAAAAAATTTGAAAATATAACACTGATTTTTGTTGTTTGACTTAGTATTTGTTCGACGTGTTATTGTGTCTTAATTAAGTTCAGATAGTTTGTTTGCTGCTTATGACTAAGGTTGTAATTGCAGCAAATTATTTCAGAGCTCTAATATAATCTAAAAAAATTTCGTGTGGTTACTGTATGACACCGTGTTTAGCTATTTATCGTAAATATGAAAAGAGAATGTTTCCAAATTGTCTGGTGAGTATAAATTTAAGATTGGAATAGAATGGATCTAAGTACCGATGACTGCACACGATGGTTATCTGCTTAAGCTGCATCCCAGTTTTGCCTGAAAGCTCTCCTGAAGAGGGAATCCGCATATTACTTGGTTCCTTCTTCCGTTCCACTAGCCTCTCGGGAAAACTTTCGGATGGGCAGATTTTAGCCTGGGATTCAAACCACGCTCAGCGACGTGACACTCATTCAGTCTTCGCTCACCAGTGCACCTTCCAAAATATCTTTAACAAATGAAAAGTATAAAATATGCATTACAGCATCTAAAAGCTCCATTTTTAAATATAATTATACATACTGTTGCCATTTCTCTATACTTTAATTACATCTTAAATTAAGCTGTTGAGAGAAACTAAAAGACAGTAAAAATGAATCTTGCAGTATTACTCCCATGCATAAAGTTAAATAAAAATATCGCGAATTTTCAAGACATTTCTTTCTAAAATGCAACGGGATTCAGTATATAGGAAACAACTTTATAATTTTTGCGAAGCAAGAAAAAGTTTCGAAAACATATTTTCACAACGATGTTATTTTAAAAAGGCTTTCTGAATAATTAGTGAATAAGGTAATATTAAGTAGAAGAAATTAATTAACCAAATCTTAGTTCTGCGACCGAAGCATGTGCTATTACAGAAAACAGTCCGTATATACTTTTAAGCAATGCAGTTAATCTTCATTTATTTAAAATATTAATTTGACATTTGCATAAATGCATTATAATCAGAAAATGAAATTCTAATTCAAATAATTGTACAAGTATTTCACGATAATACATTTCATTTTATAAGTATTTTAAAATAGTATTTTATCATAACCTTCTTATACTGCGACTCATTACACCAAGACTCTATTAATGAGAGGATGCAATCTTGAATTTCAGTTGAATTTAGCTAAACTGTGATTTTTGCTAATAAATGAAACAGAATGTGGATTTCTTTCGAATACCTGCTAATAATTTTCACTTCATTATGCTCCCATACCGATTCTGAGCTGGCAGCGGCTGAGCAGTTGAAGTCACTAAACAAAAGTAATTCGACCTGGCTTTCAAACACTGGCGAACGGTCTAGCCTGCATGGCCATTTTCGAGGTGTTCCGTATGTGTATCCCACCCATTTCACAGAAAGCCCTCACCTACTTTGCCGTAAACACACACACACACAATATATATATATGTATATAAACCATACATATTATCCTTAAAATTTATTATATCATGCAATTGGGGCATTAATCTTCTTTTCTCAGGTGATATGCCATTAATTCCACCACCATTTTTTTATTTTTATCCTTTTCATTTATTCCCTTTATTAAATAACACGACGTGCAACATATTTTCCATTTTTTCCAAGTTTATATAACATTTCTGAAGTATTTCAGTAAAATTAATACTATATAAAGCAAATTAATAAAGCGGCTATTTATACATTTAACTTCATTTCATGGGAAAATAACATTCTTGTATTTATTAATGTTTAATTTTGCAATTATCCGCATTTAATTTAATTTATTTTAATTTTTTTTTTTTTTTTTTTTTTTTAGTCCAAAGGGGCGGTAGCTCAGAAGGGCTGTTAGTTTTTCGAAGCGGAATAGTTTGCGTTGTTTCACTGTAAATGTCCATTTCACTTTTCAAATTGTTGCCACCAAATATTATCGCCCTGTATTATATTTAAAGAAATTAAATAATGAACAATCTGCATGAATGTATGCATGTTTTCATTGTGAAAAAACGACGGTACCTAGAGCCATCAAATTTTGAATAACGTAATCCTGCACCCGCACATGGGCACCTGGACACCCGAATTTCAAATTTGTTTTATTATCTATTTCATGTTTTGTAAAACTTTTTCTGATTAACAAACTCAACGATTTCAAAGCGAGAAATGCCAACATTGTACAGGAAATAACATTTTTATCTCCAACGCGCGATACTGTCTATCGGAAATTCTAAATATATACAGCTTTTAAACATTTTATTGTATTGCTGTTGAATTGAGTTTATTGGTTTACGTGTGAAGAACATGATAGTTAATAAATAAAGGTAACACACAAAACATTAAAAGAATGCCCCTTTCGGCGTAATCTAAAATGTGAAAGCTTTCACATTAAAAAAAAAAAAAAAAAAAGAAAAAAAAAAAAAAAAAAGAAAAATTCCTTTACATTTTTTTTTAATACCAGCCATTGACGAGCTGAAATTCAATTTCTCTAAACTTACAGTGCTGAGCTTCAGAAAAAAGATTGAATTATGTTTGTTTTATTATTGTTCTGTAGTACTGCAATTACAGATTGCAAAAGCAAAGAAGCGTCCAAACGTTATTGCGAATATGAGTTGAAATCAGAAATATGACTAGGATTTCCAACGGAATTCCCTTATACCGCGATATGTTTTTTAGCCCGCAGCACCACTTTATAAAATGGTTTCAGCTGTATAATATACTAACATGGTCTTGCGAAAGAACCATTTAAAATGGCTGTTGAGCTTGTAAAAAAGCAAAAACAACGTTTATATGTAATTTGAATTCGAGGAGTGTTATCTGTTATTGGTCAGCTGTTGAAAGTAGCCATGGTCAAACCAGTTAAAACGTTTCATCAACATGCACTTCTCGTCGAAAAGCATTCCATCAGCTGTTAACCGCAGGGAAAAACCTACAGATCTAATTCTTTTTACAGTCTTTTTTTTTTTAGCTTCACGAAAAAAAAAAAAAAAAAAAAAAAAAAAAAAAACATTGTCAAGTTAAAATGCTCTTAAGATAAAAAAAAAAGAAGAGAAAAAGAGTCTAATGATGTTCTTTTAGCAGTAAATACTGAGTAGAAATTGATTCTGGCCTTTGTCAGGTTGAGTTGTTGATTAACTGAGCATAAAGCTGTCAATTTGGAATTTTTTTGCGTCTGTGTGTTTCCGTTCCAAATGGGTGAAAAACACAGGTATTTGATGACGTAGAATCGCCCCCAGGATATGTATATATTGCGTTTGTAACCTTCCAAGGTTTCCGAGAGTCAATAACCTTGCATATAATTACTGGAAAACTTCGTGTTGTATAATCACTGCTTTTCCATGACAGAGGGAGGTTTCTACTACCATCTTGAGGTGACGGGTCATGAAATTGCGTTTGTTCTGCATAATAAAAAGCCGGAATTAAGCTAACATTTATATAGCTCGAGAGGACAGATATTCGTGAGTAATAAATTATAGGCTAATCAGTTAAAGTTTTATTTTTAGATATAATCAGTGATTTAATTTGTAAAACTTGAGGCTTGTATCCTGCAATAAAAAAACAATGTATAAAATATTTTTTTAATAACTTATATAGAACGGAGAAGTAGTTGTAATTTTCAAGCATTCTCGCCTAAGCGTATATTTACTTAAATATTACTAAAATTCTAATGAAGTTCTAACATTTTTCCAGCCGTCTGAGTAAGGAAACTCAAAAAATATATTCAAACAAATATTATCTTCTACAAATGGCATAAAAAATTTCAAGACCTACCTTCTGACTTGTAAGATCTGAAAATACTGTCTCCTTCTTTTATCAATTTAGCTATGAGCACGCTGATTTCAAATTATAAATTAAGTATTGATGTTTATGTTACATAATGAAATTAATTAAATAGCATCACTCACAAGAATAATTTCATAGGAAAGGTTACTGGAGAAAGTCTTCCGTTATATTTTTATCCTAATAGGCACTGCATTATATAAAATGTTTGTTAGAATGAAATCGTATACTGCAAAGCTATGAGTTACTTATTTTGTGCTGAATAATTTTGTTAGTGAAGAGATAAAAATCAAATGAGTTTGTTTGTTTATTTAAACCCAATGCATAACTATTTTCTTAAAATTATGTATTTAATCTTTATTTAAGTATGCTTTTAAAGTATTAAGTATTTCATCTTTATTGAAGTATACTTTTAATACAAGTACAAAGAAATCACTCGCGTTCAATTCTCGTATGGTGAACGTAAATTTTGCAGTATATTTTCTTTTCTTTTTTTCTAGAAAAATGGGCTACACTCAAGCAGTATTTCTCTTGGTGCTTTCTACAGCATTACTGGCATGTGCAACCGAAAAGCCTACCCATTCACTGAACGAAACGGCTTTATCCAAAGAAACTCTTTCACATCGCAAAGAACGTCTGAATGTATTGAGCAATATTGGCAGTGGTTTGTTAGGAGCTTTCAGCGGAGGTAGCCAGTCTAGCGGAGGTTCATCCAGTGCTCCAGGAGGAACTAGTCCTGCTTTGGGCATTCAGCAAGGGCTCAAGGGTATTCAAACTCTTCAAAAATTTGTGTCTCGATTTCAAAGCGTTATGAAAGTACCATTTTCGTTTCGAGGAGTCTCTGACACGATGGCTTCGTTGACTGGCCTACTCGCTGCTGTTGGAGGGGGTTATCTTACATATGTGACCATGGTTGCTCTCTTTGGAAGCATGATGGATCCCCATAACACTGCCTACCAACATGCGTTTTCAGCTCCTCCTCATCAATATGCCCCACCTCAGCACCTTAATGTTAACGGACCTGTTGGTGCTGCTGCTGGTGGTTATAATCGACGACAGTCTTCCGACAGCAGCAATTTCTATTTCGGTTCTTACGACGTTGGAAAGATGTTTAATTCTATAACAAGTTTTAACTATCCAGAAGCATCTTTTAAGCTTCTCAGGATTAAAGACGAAGCTTGCAAACAAAGAGCTGTGTGCGAGTTCGAAAAGTTCTTAGCCAAGAAAGGAATAGCTTCTGTCATTCTAAAAGGCGTGAGGTAAGTAAAATATGCTTTTTTTGACGCGGTTATGAAGCGTATTTAATATTAAAGATTTTACTTATTTAAAATTTATCTAGTGAAAAATTTACTTACTTCGAATAATTTATTTTGCATTATGTGTTATTTCATTCATGTAAAAGTATATCAATTTCTAAAGCTACTCTGAGTGTCGCATATATCTTTGAAACTTACACTTTAAAAGTAAGCTAATATTTCTCCTTAAATTTCATTCCATTTTATATATTAGAAAGTTACTCGTATTAGAAAGGCTTCATGAAATTTTGGAATTAGCGACTATCTTATTAAATGGTTGTATCAAAATATATATCAGGATTATCATTCAAAAATTATTATATATTTTTAATAATTTCAGCAACTAATAAAGTGTAAAAATTTTTGAATGAACAAAGAATACAAAGAATGGAGAAATCGAAATAGTTTTTGACTTTTATCACACAACTTTAGTCATCTTGACTGTAATGAAAGTACAGAACCATGAATCAATCGATAAACTTTATTCAAGTAGTAAAAGAGAGAAAACGATTGAACATTATATTGTTTTCCATTACCGACATGACAAAAATTGTCATATTTATTTCTTTATGAATGACCTTATTATTTTTATGTTTAGCTTAAGTGGATGAAACGTCAGATTAAAATAAATAAAACAAAGTTTTGTCTAGTTGTATTCAGCACAATATGCGACTTTATATTTTAAAATGAAGTATAGGGTTTCTTAAGTATTGTCCTCTTTTCCTATATTGATACTTTTCTTTTAAAATGTTGAACTTATATTAATGTCAACTCTTCATTTTAGCCATTTAACACAACAAAGTAGACGTACATTTAGGTATAAAATGAGTAATGTTATTGTTAATTGGCTTTATAAGTATTCTTTTGTCTGGTACAACATTATTCACTAATGGAATTTTAAAATACTAATTTTTAGGAATATCTTTTTATAGTGTATCAGACGGCAAAAATTATTTGTTCTTAGTTTTCTTTTAAGTTTTAAATAAAATATTATTGAGTTTTCTTTATACAAAATTAAGTTAATAAAGTTTTCTTTTATTAACTTAATTTTGATTATAGATAAGTGGATGGGGTATGCAGGGTTTGGCTATTTCTGAATGTTAATGAATTTCTAAAAAATATCGCCTCAGACCAATCTAATGTAAGCCAGATGTTTTGATTTGATTGCAAAGCAAAATAATTTCATTTTGTTGTTAATTCTATATCGTGGTACAAATAACATTGATTTTACTCATTATTATTAATCATACAGTATAAATCGTCACTTTGAAAGGAAACTGCACACATTTGAATAATAAAAAATATTAAGCGACTGAATGACGCCAATGCCATAGCACAGAATATCCTCAGAAAGTTCTGTCTAAGCTGTAATTCCTGGGACATGCTGAACATACCTTATGAATCTTATTTTCAAATGCCTTGAGAACGAAGCGAAGAAAGTGAATGAATAATAAACTAACAATTATTATCAATATTTTGTTTTTATATATAATTATTTGCATCTTAATTTAATTTAATTTTGTTATCTCTGTTTTTAGCAAAAAGATAACTGGGATGGAAAAATACCTAGATGCAGCCTATCGCGGCTTGGCAAATGAAGATTGCAGCTACGCCTTTTCTTCGTGCCCCTTCACGCTGGGACAAACATTACTCAGATCAATCGGGTTGAGTTAGAGTTCAAAAGGATGCTCTTAACCATAACTGTCAACTGTTTTAACATTGTGGCTTTTCAGTCGCCAATGAACTGTGATCACCAGACTTTATTTCTAAAGTTATCATGAAGGAAACAAGGCTTATTCTTGTTTCTAAGAATCAACCAACATTTAAATGCGTCTGTCTAAGTGCACTTTACCAGCGTTGCATTTATGTTTGATATCATCGCTGAGCATAACCATTTCTTAAACAACAAAGGAGGGTTGCATGTTTTTTATACACATTTTCGTATATTTAAATTCAGGAAACATTCAATGTTTACTCTAAGAACTTTTTTACAGTCCGTTTGGGAAGATTCTGTACCTCATAAAAACTTAAACGTTAACGTAATCCATTGAAGTCTTTTGGATCGTTGTTCAGATCATCCCTATGTGCTTATGCTTCTTTCTTCTGTATTGGATTATTATTTAATTTAGGTAAAGCATATGAGGGCTGTTTGCCTAAGAGTCATGCCAATTTCATTCAAGGGCAGCGGGATAAGGAATCTGAGGGTCTGGTACACTTTTATCCCTATTAGCGATATCTCGAGAGAACTTGCGGCTCCACAGACGACTGTGCCACAAAGACACTCAATTCATACCTTTCTCAGCATTCCAATCCAGATTAATTGGCATGGTAAATTCCGTTATCCTGTGCCACCATACTGTCTGAGGTGGCACTCCTCGACTTGGACATACATGTTCATACACCTTCAAGTCTTTTTGACTTTCAAATGTAATCGAGGCAAAGGAGTCTACAAACTAGTGTTTAAACATTACAGAGTCAAACACCTAGAAACCATACTTTGATAATTACGTCATATGCCGCATTGCCACATTAGACAGCTTAATTTCTTTTATTACATTTATACATTTACACATTTTTATTACATTCAATTTACATACATTCCTCCTTTGAATACAGAAGTTTCCTGAACGCACTGTACAATATTTGTCATATCACTTTTTTTATTTTCACATCACCACAATGATCTTCTTTTGTGTAAAATTACTATGACTAGATATTTGTGATGATGTGAAAACTCACAGAATTTTAAATTTTATCTGTGGTTTTACTGGTATGTCATTTTCTAACAAAGAATCAATGTATTTTTCTAGTTAAAATTACACATATGTAAGTTATTGAAAAAGATTCAAATATTAGTGCCATTTATAGTTTATATTTCAAGTAATTAATTAAATTATTAATTTATTTAAATAATTTATATGAAAAATTATCAGTAAATAATTATTTTTCTTCTTGTGTTATAGAACAATGGCGTCATAGCATTTCGTAATGGTAAATCGCTTGCACCATCACTATTCTATTTTCATCCAAATAAGACTTTTGTTCGAAGAAATTTCGCATTTGTTGTGTCAATTGAAGGGTAATATTCATTAAACAAGGCTAAAATTTGTGATATTCATTCAGAGCAAACAAATGCTATATTTCAACAAGCAAAAGTGCTTAATTCTATTTATAGATTGTTTAATTACTGTTGTATTTTTTTGTTATCTGTGCTAGCTAGATCATAGGATCGCCTTATGATAGGAACCATGTATTTTATCACAGTGACTATTTTGTAATAACTTTTCCTAGAAACTTTGTATTTAAAGACATATTTCTGCATTACATTTACATTATATATGTAGCTGGAATTTCAATTTTAAGTTATTTTTTAATTTGTTACATTTAATTAGTGTAATCAGGAATCCTAAAAAGAGGAGAAGATGTTTTCTTTTTTAACTAATTATCACCATGCTTAATTTATATTTATTACTTAATTATCATGCTTTTACAGAACTGCTCATATTACTACCTTCAGAAGTGTGTTCCACATTTTTCCTGATATTACTTCCTAGGCTAATTAATTAATAATAATTTCCTTTATTGAATAATAATTTTAAAGATTGTTTTGTTAGCATCAAAATGAATTTATTTTTAAAGATTGCCATTTCTTTTATCTTAAAGCAATAAAAGTTCTGTGTGAAGTGAATGGCAATACTTCAAAAAGGCAATAAAATGTATTATTAAATCTTTAAAACGGACTTCAGTGAAGGAGAGTTAATTAAGATCGAAAAGCTGTATTGAATATGTCAATTAAATATGTGTTTTCAATTTCTTCCTGTAGTTGCCTTAGTTATAGTTTGCCATAGATAGAGAAATAAATTACTGATAAATGGTTAATTAAAATTATATTGTGTAGTAATTATGAGCAGTCCAAAAATTCATTTTAGTAATAATTATTTTACAGTTCATAAATGTTTTCAGGAGCTGTTGAATATAATGCTTATTTTGAATATCTAGAGAATAAATCATTTCAAATTTTGGGTCGTTTTTTTATTTCTGACTCACAGAACAATAACATTTGATGCACAATATGTAAAGCAATTAATTATATTTTTTAAAACCAAATTTACATGTCTTTCTTTCGATACATGAGAAATATAATTTATAATGAAAAGGTTAATTCCACCAGAACATGTTAGTGTAATTAGCGTGAAGAATTTATCACCAAATTTTTTTGTAGCGATATTTTCCAATTGAATATGTGGATTATAATGAAAATGTTCCAAATAAAATGATTAAATCTAATTCAGAAAAATCAGCAAAATTTATCCTATATATTTTTACCTATTTTACCTCTCTCAACAGCACATTTTTGTTATGTTACGCAAGCAGAAATTTTACATAGTTTTTTTTTAATAATTTTAAGAAGCATTTCCTAACACAGAATGTAAACTATATTCTATATAACTGGGTAACAATCGAACTGAAAATCGAAGGAGTTTACAGTTTCAGAAAGGATATATAAAAACAATCAGATCTAAGAAACTGAAATCATTACTCAAACTTGGGTAACTGGCCTCCAGCGGTTGAGCGGTAAAGTTCCTGAACACTGTTAGTTCGATCCGAGGTTCGAATTTCCCGAACGGGCTAGCTGCATGGTCTGCGGTTTTCCCTATAAGTAACGTGCTAATACGAGTCAGTTTCCCTTAAAAATTCTTCCACGAAGGCATCCCTCTCTTCCGTCTAGTACCTTAAAGCGGAACGCGTAAATAATAATAATAAATTTAGGAACTGGCAAGAAACAGTTAACAAGCTTATGGTTGTTTGCAGAAATTCTGTTGCTATCACGATTGGCTAAATTTAAATATAAAAAGTAAAATAGCAATTAATTTTACTTTAATCTCACTCAAATAATTTTCGCCTTTTATCTGCCGTAAGGAACGGTGAGATTTAAATTTGCCTAGAGTAGATTTTAACTTACTTTCTCTTTTCACTTACTTCTTTTTTCTACTACAGTTGGAAATAAGTCGAGCGCTGTGTAAAAACACAGAAACAATGAGAAGTCATAGAAAATGTTTGAAAGTATACTAATAAAATAATATAATTAAATATATAGAGAACTGAAGCTGTTATATTGATGTGTGTGGTATTATGCAGAATTTTCAAACTGTTGCGAGCTACACGGGCTCATGGATATCTCTTTAAAAATTACTTCAGATCAGTAAGAAGAAACTGACAGTTTATTGGAATGGAAGAAATAATATTGCACAGCAAAAACCTAATAGCTGTATATAACTTAAGGAGGCATAGACATTAGGCAAATGTCCTAGGCACGAGAAATATCCCAAATTACCAATATCACTGGCAGAGTACACTCTAAAATGATAATTCATCTAATTTATCTTTGAACCGCCGTCTCTTAAAGCTGACTAATAACATGATATTGCTGGATGGCAAAGTCATACTGCAACGATGTTGTTACACGAGTTTTAGGAAAAATCGCTCCTAGAACATCGAAACTGCGTTTTCCAATAACTTCTATGGTTTTCCCCATGTGTAACGTGTATACAAGCCAGTTCCCCTTAGAAAGTCCTCCACGAAGGCATCCCTCCCCTTAGGCAGATAGCCCTCGAGGCTTTGCCGTAATTAAATTGCCTAACTAACCAATAACTTCTAAAAAATCGCCAAGTTGACGACTATCTCACGAGCTTGGTGATAAAAGTTGTATTTAGGATTAGTATTTCTGCCTATTACTCGCGTTCCATTCAGCTACTTTTACAGTTAAAACGTTTTCGGAGTTAAATCAGGTCTGCAACACTGTGTTAGAAACAAGTAAATAAGTAATAAGAGCATATGACCTCAAATTTAATTACACTAAAATAAATTCTAACATTATTATTCCCCAAAACGCAAAAATTAAACAAATAAATAAAAAAATAACCCAATATTACAACAATACGCACAAAAAACAGTGCTTTCAAAAGCTAAAAATTTGAATGTTCACAGAGCTGTACACCATATACTTTCATCTCTTCTTTCTTGCTATAAGAAATATGCAACTTTTTCTTCAACTAAATTTAATGCAGATTTTTCTAAAATTCTTTCGCTGTATTTAATCGCGAGACACAAATTAGGCTGACAAAAGAAATTACAAAACGTCATAAAAAACGTATGGCAGGCATTCGGAAATTTTTTGGCAGCATTATAACAGCACTAAACAAAACTAAAAACTTTGAAGTTCCTGATGTTTATAAAGGTTTTATAGTAGTTGTTCTTTACTTAATATGTTTCACAAACAATAAAAAATACGCAACACATGGACTGTATTCCTTCACTTTTATTTCATTACACTAATTATAAATAAGATATCAGCGATGCGAAATAATTGATACGAAATAAGCGAGCCATTCTACATGGCTGTCACAAACACAATTCTATCAATCAATTATCTTGTTGCCACACATAAAGTTCAAAACTAAAGGAAGAAAAACAAAAAGAAATTTACGCTGTTTGCAACAATAAAATGAAGCAAACGATACTCACATAAACATCCTGGCCCTTTTGGGGAAACAGTTCTTCTTAGTCTGTAATAAAGATAAACATAAGAAAAATAATACAAAATATTATATGCGAAGCAGTTCATAGTTTTTTAGTCTGAATAGGAAGAGGACACAATTTCACGACTGGTCGTTTTATGACACCATGACCAGTTTTAATACTAGCAACTCTGACTCTTTGATCTGAGCCCGGATGAACAGCAATTATTCTCCCTAACCTCCATTTAAGAGGCGGAAGGTTGTCTTCTTTGATGAGGACTAAGTCATTGACTTCTAAATTGTTTTGACTTTTTTGCCATTTAGGTCTTTGTTGAAGCTGAGACAGGTATTCTCGACTCCATCTTTTCCAGAAGTGCTGAAAAATAAACTGTCTCACATGCCATCTGTCAAGGTGATTGAAGGAACTATAATTTAGGTCTGGTTCAGGTATGGCAGTTAAAGACGTTCCTATTAGGAAATGACCAGGTGTTAATGCAGTTAAATCATTTGGATCAGCCGATGTTGGACACAATGGCCTAGAGTTGAGACAAGCCTCAACCTGCGCTATCAAGGTCTGAAATTCCGGATAGGTCAGCACAGTATCACCAACAGTCCTTTTTAGATGTAATTTCATTGACTTTACTGCCGATTCCCATAGTCCACCAAAATGGGGAGATGATGGCGGGTTGAATATCCATTTTATTTCCTCTAAAGACAAAAATTTGTGAATTTCTTGATTTTGCTTACATTGCAAAAAACATTTTCTGATTTCTTTGTCTGCACCTTTAAAGTTAGTACCGCAGACACTATAAATCTATATCTATAAATCTCAAATGGTTTCCCTCTTCTTGCAATAAATCGTTTCAATGCACTTAAAAATGCTTTTGTTGACAAATCTTCTACATTTCAAGATGTACTGCCTTGATTACAAAACACACAAATAAGCATACGTAATATTTAAATGATTTTTGTCCACGTCCTGCACGATGTTTAATCATGAACGGTCCAGAAAAATCTATTCCAGTTCGATGAAATGGTCGCGATTGTGTTACTCTAGATTCCGGTAGATCAGCCATTATTTGACTTGCAGTTTTAGCTCTAAGTTTGCAACACGTGATACAAGATCTTACTACTTTTCGGATAGCAGATCTAGCAGCTATGATCCAAAATTGCTGTCTAATTAAAGATAGAAGAAGTTCCGGTGCTGCATGCAGATATTTGACATGAAAGTGTCTAATTATGATTTCTGTCAGATTGTGTTTTGAAGGTAATAAGATTGGATGTTTTTCATTTTCTGATAGTTGCGCATTTTTTCAGTCTTCCTCCTACACGTAACACTTTGTTGTCATCTAAAATTGGACACAAGCTAAGGAGGTTGCTGTTTGTAGGTAAGTCCTTTCCCAACTCCAAACATTGAATTTCTTTAAAAAAGTGAAATCGCTGTATTATTCGGACAATACAGAAAGTTGCAGCTCGAATTTCATTACTAGATAAAAAAGACGTATTTCTTTCTAGATATGCTACTTTTAGAATTCGATATGAATCTTAATATCCAAGCAAATATGCGTTGTAACTTTGGAAATGAAGATATATTTGATATATAGCAAGTAGCAAGTTCTGTACAGTACAGTTCAGAAACTACAAATGAGACTGTTTTACGTGCATCTGGTAATGCCTCTTCATCTATAAGAATATTTTTAGACAAGGCAATCTCACTGCACTTTAACCAAGAAGGACCATTCCACCACAATTGATGAGATAATAGTTCTGCAGGAAATAACCCACGTGAAGCACAATCAGCTGGATTTTCCTTTTCCATCAACATGACTCCAGTTCTCAGGTGGTAAGATGGATTGTATTTCAGAAACTCTATTGGATACGAATACTTGCCATTTTTTAGGATCTGACCTTAGCCATGACAACACGATTTGTGAATCACTCCAAGCTTGCACTAAATCAAAATTTATAACTAATGCAGCTTTTACAGACTGAATCAAGCGTGCCAATAACACTGCTGCACATAATTCCAGTCTTGGAATCGTAATAGATTTTAATGGTGCTACACGAGTTTTAGCTGTTACGAGTTTAACATTAATGTCAGAGTTATTGCAAGTTTTGATATAAATAACTGCTGCATAACCTCTTTCAGACGCATCACAAAATCCGTGAAGTTCACATCGAAAATAATCAGGTAGCAGAATTTTCCTAGGTATATTTATAGAATTCAAAAGTTTAACTTCTCTACATAGATTTCTCCAATTTCGATCAATCTCTTCTGTTACAGGATCATCCCATGATAACTGTAATTTCCACAATTGCTGAAGGATCATTTTAGCGAGAATTACAAACGGAGCTATCCACCCCAATGGATCGAATAGTTTTGCTACGAATGACAAAATAATTCTTTTAGTCGGAACACTTTGATACTCTATTACACCGACATTACATTTGAATTCATCATTGTCCGGATGCCATTCCAATCCCAGAACTTTCAATGGTTTTGT